AAGCAGCATTCATTTTAGCATCGCATCAAGGAGTACAAGCAAAACTGCTGATAACTTTCATAGGAAACCTTCTAGTGGCTGGCATTATACCTTTGATGTGGAGATGCTGGTGTTGGACTAGGTTGGACAAAGTTTGAAGTCACACAACACCAGGTCATTGTCAACAGGTTTATTTGAAATCACAAGCTTTTGGAGTGCTGCTCCTTCGTCAAGTGAAATGACTTTAACTGACGAAGGAGCAGTGCTCTGAAAACTTGTGATTTCAAATAAACCTGTTGGATTATAACCTGGTGCCATGTGACTTCTGGAATTCTACTTAACAGACAGGAAATTAATTGTGGCTGATGCAGGAGAATCATTGCAGCCGTGTGCTTCATTGCTTGAGGTGTCCTTGACCTAACCACCTGCAACTGTTTCATCAAATGACCTTCCCTCCATGTCAAAGTCAGAAAGTGTGGGTGCTGTGGTTCAGATTCCATAGAATTCCATTCACAACTCTTCTGATAATAACTCTGCCAACCTCTCCAAACTTGGCCTGAAGGCAGTGACCATTGCAACAGTGCCTCCTATCTTATTTTGGCACCACTATTGCTGATTCTCCCAACATCAACACTTTGCAGTTGCCATTGTCTAAATTTTGAGCCAACACCATAGTTACAACAGCAGGGTAGTGACTGTATATTCTTCAACGAGGATTCAACTCCTGACTAGTCATAGCATATTATCATTCACAAGGTTCAGTCAGGAAGGTGATGAAATATTCACAACAGGGCATCAGAATGAACAGAGACAGCACCAGTGCATTGAATCACAGTCCTGAAGCTCAGATGGTTAACAGCAACAGAAAAGTTGATAGGGTTCTAGTAGAATATTTTAAACTGATGACAACTGAAAGACAGACAATGCATCTGTTGTGGTCCACCAGAAAAATACAGTTCTGATGGTAAGCAGAGTTTGAGCTGTTGAAAAGACAAAAAAGGCAGGGTTGGGGGGACGGCCAATGCGTTCTGTGCATCTGGCTTCAATTTGTAGCTTCAACTTACAGAGCAAACTGAAAAATATCCACTTTGGAACAAGAATTCTCCTGCAGTAAAGTATAGAAAGTGAGAGGCAGGAGGCGTCTTGTGGCGCAGTTGTAGTGTTGCTACCTCTGAACCAGGAAGCCTGGTTCAAGTTCCATGTATTCCAGAGGTACATAATAACATCAATGAACAGGTTGATTAGAAAATATTTAGAAGACTAAAGGGAAAGAATAAAGGCTGGCATTGGATAAAAGAAGATAAGTAGATTAAAGAACTGTCAGCATGGAACCCATTTTCTTTCATCATTTGCTATGACGTGCTCTTCATCCAAGTCTTTGCCTGCACATAACAGGCATTCATCATTGTTTGCATGCTGTAAAATGATGTTTACTCACAGGTAAATATGAAACTATACACTAATATTTATGATTATTTATTTGCTTGTCACATCTTTATTTTACCCATACATATATTCCTTAAAGTAGAGACACAGGACCATATCTAAGGTTCTTGCATGAGACTATAATGGAGTTGTGCAGAATGATCGACATGGGTCTAATGATTATCTCAAAGAACCCAACTGCGCTCTCAATCAAAGTGAAGGTCACAATAATCCTAACATTCTATGCATTCAGATTCTTTCACAATGCCATACATCTTGGACACATTGTCAGTGTATCCCGATGTGTAGCATCACTTTATACATTGAATGTTACAGAATCTTTATTCAAAATAACATCAGAATATTTGGTTGCCAAAGAACTTGCACAATGAGAGAAATGTTTGCTGTGATAGACTGGTTGATTTTTTTCAGAATAATGTGTACTATTGATGCCAACTGGTATCTTCACTGACATGGCATTGTAAATGAATAGAAATGGTTCTGCTTCTCCAACATTTAGGTGTTTTATTATCACTAGCATCTCACTGTGCAGAAACGATGGGCCAAGTGGCCTCAATCTGTATCCTAACAATTCTATGATGCTGTGACATTAGTCTGCTAGCTCACATGATCCCTTTGTTTTAATGTCAGGGTCTTGCTTAAATACCTGGTTATTTGTTGGACTGCTTCGAGTACCACTGACTACAACGCTGAGCCTGTGACACCCTTATCTAAAATATTCTACACAAGGGCTGTTGTGCTGTTGGAAAGTGAGTATCTAGAAAAATACTGCATTTACTAGTACAGTCAGACTAGTGTGCTCACCTAATAAGGACAATTACACAGTATGAAGAAACAGTGATCTAAAGTGGGTTAGAAAAGTAGACTGTGGGGAAAATCAGTGGAAGAGCACTAGCAAATGTTTAAGCAGATATTTCACAATGCTCAGGAAAAAATTATTCTGGTCATACCAAAAACTGATGAGAAGGATAAAATACCCACACTTAAATGAACTAAACGGAAGTATCCAATAAAAAACTAAAGCAGGCAAAGGGCAAAATTAGTCATGGCCAGAGGATTGGTAATCTTTTAGGAACCAGCAGTAGATGACTAAATCAAAACTATTAAAAAGGCAGAAAATTGGTTATGGATTTACTGGCATTAGAGGCAGTTCAAAAGAGATTCATTACACTAATTCTTGGGATGAGGAAGTAGACCTATCAAGAACAGATAAATAGATTAGACATTTAATCATTGGAGTTTAGAAGAATGAGTGATCTGATTGAAACGTACAAAATTCTGAGAGGGATTAACAGGGTATATGTTGACAAGATGTTTCCAGTAGTGGGTGTATCTCAAACTAGGGGATATTGTTACACAATAAGGGGGCACTCATATAAAACTGAGATCAAAGGAATTTCTTCTGTCAGAGAATGTCTGGAATTCTCTACTACAGAGGGTTGTGGTAGTTAGATTATTGAAAGTATTTAAAGAGGCGTTTGATATACTTTTGAAATATTGAAGAATTGAAGGTCATGAAAAGATGGCACAAAAGATGAGTTGAGGCCTTGGGAGGATCATCTATAATTTTATAGAATGGCAGGACAGACTTGAGGGGCTGAATGGCTTACTCCTGGTCCTTCTTCTTATACAGAGAATCTGCATCTAGGGGTCACTATTTAAAAATAAAGAGATACCCGTTTAAGAGATGAGAATTTTTTTTGTCTCTCAGATGACTGGGGGTAATTGGAAGTCCAATTCTCAAAAGGCAATGAACGTAGAGTCTTGAGTACTTTTAAGGCAAAGATGTATAGGTTCTTGGTGAGCAAGTGCATAAAAGGCTATCGAGGGTATTTGGGAACATAGAGTTGAAGTTAAAATTAAATCAGCCATGGTATAATGAAACAGCTGAGTAGGGTCGAGGAACTGATCAGTTTACTAATCCTACCTCATGTTAATAGAATCATAGAGTAATACAGTATGAAATATGAAAACAGGCCCTTTGGCCCAAATTGGTCCATGCTGACTATAGTGCCCACTCAGTTAGTTCCAATTGACCACATTTGGTCCATATCTCTCTAAACCCTTCCCATCCATGTACCTATCCAAATGTTTTTTAAATGTTGCTATTGTACCTACCTCAACCATGTTCTCTGGCAGCCCATTCCGTATACTTCAGATACATTCTATATATTCCATATAATATGTTTGTATGACAAGGCTCTCACTGATGTTTCTTTCTCACGAGGACTGGAATCTGACCATTAGTCTACATTTGTTACAAGGCCCTGTGGAAGATTTTCTTCTTCATGAAAGCTCTGTATAGATGTGAATGTGTGAATATCCTGTCAGGCAGTGGTATCACTTGGTAGCTTCAATTTCTGGTCTCGAATCCCACTGCTAAATAGCTATAGGTACACACAATACTGCAACAGATGTCAGATAAATCACAGTCAATCTCATAACTCATTGATCAAAACAATTGGCTGCACATTCCATACTAGTGTTGAGGCATGGAATTCTCACAGCAGCGCAACACCTCTATATGGGACATACTCCAAGGCTTGCACACAACTGACACAGCAAGTAAGGAGGCCTGAAATGGCCAGGAATACTTTGAAGCTTTCTCTAATACCAGTGAAAGCATCACTGGTATTTTCTTCACATGCCCTAATGACTTTCATAAATAATCCATTATAGGAGGCTGACTACAAAGGTTCTGCATACATTCCGTTAATGTCTTTCTTCTAAAAGCAGAGTACAATCAGGGTTCAATAACTCCTCATTCACAGCTGAGGCTTGAAGACTTTCTGATCCTCAGCTAAAGTAATTTCCTCTTCCAGGATGTCCTCATCCTGAAAGGCAGCTGTATCATTTGGCAGCCTCTGTGCCAGTCCTCTTAGCCCAGTACTAGAATCATGATAGGAACTCGCAATGTTTCAACAGATCTCGGATAAATCCCTATCTGGTATGGTATCTCTGATTGAAACAAGTGATTGCACATTCCACCTAGTTGTCCAAGGTTATTTGTAGATTCATGGGATGCCTGCATGGCTCTGTGATTTAGCCAGTGAAAACAAGATTCCCCAGACAATGTGAAAAGCACTGTAAAATAATTGAGTTTATTTTCAGTCATGCACTGTTTGCTATTTTCAATTAATTTTAATTTTGTTTTATAATGCAAAACATGCACTGGGATTTTAATTTCATGGATGTTTATCATTTACAATAGCATCCAATAGAAATATTGATGTAAACAGTATTTGTAACAGCAATATATATTAAAATAGAAGAAAGAAAATAAGATCTTAAGTGCTGAAGAATATCACTGACATCAAGCGTATTTTATAAAATTCAGATAGGAATCATAAAAACAGAAGTTCCATCAATAATGGGCAATTACATTGCAATAAATTCAGAAATCAAGCAATAGGGGTAATCTTGTGAGGATTTGCTGTCAGCGAAGATTCACTAGACAAGAGTGTTGTTGGTCCATCTCTGACCTGTAACTGAAACCACACGCTGGCAGTGGAGTCTTCCAAACTTGCCACTAACATATTATTAACCCTGTGATCTCTCACCTTGATTTTTCTCACCTTGATTTCTCTGAAAACAGTAGCACCACTCATTGTTGGAGATGCGACCATCTCTGTATGTATCACATGAATTGAAAAATGGTTTCATGCACTGATCATGGTTGTCAAAATAAATGCTTCCCAGTTCTGACTGATCAAGCAGTAGGTCATAGTTTGTGTCCAGTCTGTTAAACATCCATCCAAGTGAGTCCTTACAAATGGGTAGAATACTGGTGTCAAATCCTAAGGAACAGAGGGGAAAGAAGCAAGTAAGTACTTTGATTGAATAAAGCTCATTATTTGTCAGTTACTGACATAAGAACATAAGATTTAATGTGAATCATTAAGATTAGGGACAATTGCATTCAACAAATACATAGTGGAATGTCGTGTAACAATAATGCAACAATCAAATTCAGCCAAACTTAAAAATCATGGTTGACCAACTAAATATGCTACTAATTTCAAGCATTTTTTGTTGCTTATGATATCTTCAGAAAATCAAGAACCTTTCAGGATGGAGAAATTTAGAAGAATAATAGCTAACAAAACTGGATAATAATAATCTTAAGTATGCTTTGGCAGATGTATTGAGGTTTTATTCTATATTACTCAAACTAGTGCAAAAGGAGTCCATGATTAGTTTTCAAAATAAGGATGAGATCAATAGTGCTCACAATTATTTGTATACAAATCCTACAGTAACCTCAGACTTTAGATGTATGGTTTATTGTGGAAATCGAAAAGTCACTGTATTGTTTGTGTCACTCTGCTGTTAACTTTTATAAATGCCATCTCACTGCCTGGTCCACTAATCAAATAAACTGAATGGCATGAACTTACTTTATTTGTATTGTAGATATAAACATTTTTGCACTCTCCGAATCCAATCAATCTTTCCCTCCTTCATTTCCTCTTCTACTACTTCCTTTGAGATTGAAATCAACCATGCTAATTTATACTTTCCTCTTTGTTCTTTTGCCGTTTATTTCATAATCGTTTAATCTGTTCATTTTAGCTCCTAGATAACCAGTTTCCTTGCTGGATTACCAGTCTGCACGTTCAGCAAACAGCCAGTCTTAATGTGCATAGGCAAGTTTATTTAATAACAGATGCCATTAAATGTTGTGTAAATTATGTCCCATGATACTTTTAGGATCCTAGCTGATGGTAACAAAGGACAAGTCAGATCCCAGAGCGAGTCCTGGTTTGATAGACCCAAAGGTTTAATCTTGCTATTTGTTTACTGCAGTAGTTATATTCAAAAGAGGCTGCAATGGTACTTTTAACAAAGAACATAAAAGTTTATTACACACAAAAGGAAAATAAAACACTATATTACACCTATTTGAAGCAGTCTCAATATAAATATCAAAAATAGAGATTCAACAATTTTACTCTGAAGTACAACCTAATAAATACTTAAACTTCAGTGAAGGTTATCCTGTCTCCACTTTATAGTTCCTTGTTTAGTTGGCACGGATGTAATTAGTTTCTTCTTGGAAAACTCCTGCAGCCATTTGATGCTATCTTCTTCAGTTAATGTCTCTTCCTGAGACCTTTAATCAGGTCAGTTACTGTTTAATATATTCCACCAACAACAACATGCTTTCCTAAGCAAGGCAGCCACACTACCTGATGTCAGCAAATCTAAACAGTGGAGGCAAGTGGGGCGTAATTAAAATGCAGATTCATTTCAAACGATTCAGATAAAGGCAGTTTAGGTAGAAATCAATGTTGGGAATAGGCCTTAAAAGGGCATAGTTGTAATGGGCATTGGAAAGATCTTGGGGAATGGAATGAGGAAACTGGGATGCAGAGGGGAGATTTACAATGATGGGCGCAAGGGAGGCAATAAAGGATGGGAATTGTAACTTAATGTGCACTGGAAAGGGAGAAAGAACAGGTAAATTGTATAAGGGACAGTGTAATGCGAGGTTAGGCACAGCGGTCCACTTGGGAGTGGTATACAAACATATATATGAAATAGGAGCACAAGTAGACCAGTTGGCTCCTGAAGCCTGTTTCACCATTCAATATCATCATGATTGATTTGTTTGTGTCCTGCTTTTCACATTCCTCTCTATTACTGATATTCTTAGATTCCCTAGCCTAATAAGAATCTATCCACCTCAGCCTTAGAAACAATCAATGACCCAGCCTCCTCCATATTCTGAAGAGGAGTTCTAAGGTCAGACACCCCCTGAGGAGAAAATAAAAACTCACCCCTCTCCTGAAAGGGACATCTCTAAATTTAAAATAGTGCACCCTGCCTTGTGCTCCAGATCACCTCCAAGTGGAAACATCTTTCCACATCCTCATTGTCACAACCATTCAGGACCTTATACACTTCAATCAAGTCAACCCTTTTCCAAAACCTCAGCAGAAACAAATCCAACCTGTCCAACGTATCCTCATAAGACAGCTCACTCATTCCAGAAATCAAACTAAGGGAAAAAGCAAGAATATCAAAGAGATAAAGTGAAAGGGCTGATAGTTTCAGGGAGAGATTAAAGGAAAACAGAGGGGATGTCAGAGGAAAGGAGAAGGCAAGCCTGTGATGGGAGAAAAAGTGTATGGTAGATGAAGGGAAGGATAAAGGGTGAAAAAAATCAAATGAAAAGTTAACCACCACCTCTCTCCTAAATCAGCTACAATGAATGTGCAACACTAATGGAGGGGTTCCAAGATCTGTTTGCATATGTTCCTGCACAGTGCAAACACACACCTAAGTAAGGAAATCAAAATAGAAACTAAAACATACAACATTGTGAGTACTCAGCTGTGTCTAAGGGAAACATTTATTGCAGGATAAGGGTGAATTTGTCCTATCACACCTAATACCAACTTCTTAATCATGTCTCATCTAACGTTGGGACGAAGGGTTCCTGTATTTCATCAACAATAGTGACGGTGTTCAGCGTGTAATTCCATGCAGGAGTATTCATAGGTTCATATATCTGAAAGTTAAAGACATGGGGATGAAACCACTGTGCAGGCTGTAGATTTCAAGGTTGTGAGGCTATATCATAAGGATAATGAAAGCCACCAAGAATCAGATTAAACTAACAGCGCAAGCATGGAAAGAAAAAAACCATGAAGATCAAGGGTCTTACACAAGGTAGAGCAAGGAAAGGGAAAACCAGTCACTGGTCATGGAGAACGTATCTCACCAGGCTGTGGGGCATGTGCTTGATCAACTTAACACTGGCAGCTATACGAACTGTGATTAAGGAAGAGGACAAAGGAGAAGATTAATGAATGTCCAGTCATAGCATTCACCAGAGCCATTACTGAAAGTGTATTCTGAACATGCTGTTCCATTACCTGGACCACTGAGGAGGAACACTTCAGTACTTGTCTGACTGTGCCTCCAGAGTAACAACTATCTGCTGTGTACCACTCAACGTAGATCTATAATGGGGTGAAAACTTTGCAATAGGGTTTAGATTGGTGACTGGTACATCTCCATTTCTCATTCTCCTCAGAAGAGGAAGAAAGGGAGATGATACAATAGGCTACGCAGATGATGAAAACACCGAAGAAGCCAAGGCAGCATTTAGACAAGGCCGATATTTAGACAGGTTGTGGATGCTGTAGTTGGTTTGCTTGCCGAGCTGGTTCATTAGTCTGCAGATGTTTCATGAAGCGCTCTGATGAAGCGCCGTTGTGTTTTCCCACCCGGTATTTAAACTCTGGGGTCCGTTGGAACTGGTTACCTCATTTCTGGTTTTACTTTGCAGTGGTGTATATGTAGGCTCTAATTCTATGTGTTTATTGATGGTCTTCTTGGCGGAGAGCAAGTCTCTAGAAATTCATGTGGTTGTCTCGTTTTGGCCTGTCCTAGGATCCTGATATTGTCCCAATCGAACTGGTGGTTCTCCTTATCCGTGTGAATGGAGATGAGTGAGTACTGGTCAGAGTTTAAATACCAGGTGGGAAAACACAACAACGCTTCATTGGAGGCTGCACTCATGATGTTATCCAGCAGGGTAATGAAAAGTCTGCGAACTAATGAACCAGCTCGGTGAGTGAACCAACTACAGCACCCACAACCCGAGCTACAAATCTACTCAAGAACCTTAGCCAAGTTATGGTTGCTGAGGCGCCACCTAGTCAACTATGAGAAAAATATTTTACACATTAAAGTCATATTGAGTGCACAAGAGTCCACTTTCAGTACAACTTGAAACTTACACAAATAAAGCTCTTTGTGTGACAGTCCTATACATTCTTGCAGAGTGGCTCAAGGGATGCTGATCGTCATACAAGCTCATGTGTACATCATGAGGGGCAGTGCAAAGGACTCTCAGGCTGTCGTTATCGGTTATCTTTGGAAAATGGGAACTGAAGCTAGTTGTTTAGGTTTGGGAGACAATCAGTATAATTTATTCCTCTACATCTCTGTAATAGGCTTTTGGACACTGAGATTTGAGACAATATAAACACAGCCCCCATGTAATCCTATGTAACTCCATCCTGAAGCTCTGGCCAGGAAACTGAACAGGAGGTTATTGATTCAAACAGAACTTAACTTCCATTTAATGCAAATAAAATGCCTTAACATTTTAAAAGTATACAACAAGCCTTACTTGAAGGCTAAAAGGGTTGGGGTTAGCTCATTTGGTTTGAAGGCTAGTTTGAGATGCAGGTGGTAGCCAAGAGTGAGGGTTCAATTCCAGCTCCACCTGAGGTTGCCACAAAGGACTGCCCTTCTCAACCTCTCCCCTCAACTGAGGCATGGTAATCCTCAGGTTAGACTACCATCAACTCTCTCTTATGAGAGAGTGGTCCAGTAGGACTACAGTACTTTTACTTTATAATTGGCTTATAGTTGATTGTGCACATATGCTAACACAAAGTCATTCATCCTCAAACCTAGCCTCTATCAGGCTTATCGGCCTTGTCTAAATATGCCCTGGGGAACTTTCTAGTCCTCCAAGAGTCAGAGACCTTGGTCATTTCTTCTTCATGTAGCTATAAGACTTGTGTCAATGCTGTGCTCATCAGAATGTGACCCCAAGCTTCATCTAGATTGATTACACACTGAGGTGAATTATTCAGCACGTGTGGAGAGTGGACAGGAAGGCATTGACAGCGTAACCTTGCAGGCTCACAACTATTTCTTCTCAATAGTGTGGTTTGAGGGGCTGGTAGAGATGGCCCTGTTGCTGTTCCATTTTTTGGTCTTTGCTTGAGATTGGGATCTTGAGGCTGCACAGAAAATCATAAAGATTTATTTG